GCTTTTAGCTTGTTTATATCCAAGCCAGCCTGCTGGTAACTGGGTGGTCTTTGCCCACTGACGTTGGAAGGTATATGTGCTACATGCTGGAAATTTCAGTCCATCTCATATGAATTATCCCTCATAAAAAGCCAGTATTGCATCGTTACCCCATGATGGCCTGCCACAATGGATAAGCCAGGGGTGAACTGGGCTGTGGCACAATTTTACCTTGTCTGCTGCTTGAAGAGCCCTATTGAATGGGCTTTGGGAAGTTGGTACTGATGCTGTCCTGGAGGATTTACCTCTGCTTTCTCTGTCCTTTTAAAATTTTAGAAGATAAGAACTTTTTGTTTAGTGATGGTGGGTTACGAAGGCAATAAATTTCAGACTCGCACAAATAATTGCACACAGTGAGATTATTTTAGACATGAAATGATTTTGTTTATTAAACATTGGCCCTGTGTTTCTCCCGTATAAAGAAATATGCATGGATGCTGGAATTAGCATCATTTTAATTATTTTTTTAAAATGAGAATTGCAGCTACATTATTTGTGACAGCTTTGAATATATTTTTATTAAATATCTTAATGTATCAGAACATTTAAAACGGCCACCACCCAGATCTGTTATAAGGAAAGTCATGTAACTTTGACCTATCACTTTTCAATAATGGCAAATACTTCTGTTGCCTCTTTCCAAACTGAATAAAACAAAATCAGGAAAACTATAACATAGTTGGGCCATTCCTGCTCCAGCACTGAGCAGTATGCTGCAACATTTTGACCCAATTAAGTCAGTTTTATTCCCAAGAATGTTGTTTAGTTAACGAGAGGCTTATGTTTGCCTTGATGCTGAGGGAAGTTCAGACTGTTCTCTCTCAGGAAGGTCCTGTGCTCCGGTTGAAGGCAGACGTGTTGGGAGGATTGTTTGCAGGAAAAAACAATGCATTCTTGTGGCTTTCCATTTGCATGCTGGACCAAATGTCTCCCAAACAGTGAAGGCTATTTAGTTTTTCTGATGTTCTGTTACAAAGTGGAGCTGTTTAATAAAATTGTTTTTGGTACTGTTTGGATCTGCTTTGCTACAACAGAGACTGTGTGTTACAAATGACAGTGGGCAGAAAAAGGTGCAGATTACAGGGATTTAATTAGGAAGGTAAAGGAAAGGCATTGAAAAACTCGATGAAGCCTATTTCTATATAGAGCACATCTAAGCATAGGGGTCATTTTTCATCACTGAGAAGAAAAGCTGTGCTGTATTTGACTGACAGGTTTTTACAGTCATAGATGGCCATGTGGTATAACTTTATATCCTTTTTTTTTCCTGGACATACTCCTTTGGCCCTAGTTCCATCTCTTTATAACCCCTTCTGTAGAAGCTGGGATTTCTTATTTAAAAGTGAACTGTAAATAGCAGCATTTACTACCGCAGTATCTGCTGAATTCCCCTCTAATGTGGCTGAAGGAGCCAGCTTGGCGTTGGAGCCCACAAGGAGCAAGGCGTTGGCACTGATCCACAGCAGTCTAAGAACAGCACTCAGTGCATCCTCTTAAAAGGGGATGCAAGTGCTTCTCTGCAGGCAGGTATATAGGGTGCTTAACACCTCAACATAATGGAGACAGGCCAGCAACCTCTTTCTATATGGTTTGGTACCCTTGGTGTACTTTGCATGACATTGTAACCCTGCTTAACTCATCTCTTAGTCATGCACATGTGTTTTCCTATGAACCACTTTATGTATCCATCACATGGGCTTTGTGAGGTTTCAGCAATTAACATGTATTAAGCCCTTTGAGATCCAGAGATGAAAGGAGCTGTGATGTACAGTGTTGCGGTGACGGCACGCTGACTCAGTGCAGTATGACTACAAAATAACAGTCCTTAAAAGCCAGTGAGCTGGAGCCTCCAAGGTCTCCTTTCCTCTGTGGGACACACAAGGCAGCATGTGTTTTATATGAGGGAGTTTTTTAAGGGCTGAGAGACCTCCATGAAAAAGAGAGACTTTTCCTAGCATTCACTTTCTAATCTTGGGTGGTTAGTGATCCTCTGGAGGCTGCCCACAGGCATAGGATTACCTGAGCAGAGCTGGTGTGTGGACAGAGATTTTTCATTAAGGATTATGTTAGTTGTCTTATAAGTCTCTTCCCTGAAAGCACAGTGGATCGTTCTCCCAGTGAAGGACCAGGTTGGACGTGTTCAACCTTTGCCCAGCCTCTGGTATTCTTTGATGTTTATGGAAACTGTTTCTGGGCTTCCATTCCAGGATGTGTTTTTTTGGCTTGTCTGTACATGTCAGACTGGGAAGTGATGCTTCACATGCACTGTTGTGTACATGGGTGTTTTCACAGGACTGACACAATTTAAGGGAGTGTTTCTCAACTTTGCTGGAGAGACATTTTTCCTTAGAGTCACACCTTTGGGTAAGATCCTCCTTAAGAGTAGGTGGGTGTGACAGGGGTCCATCCCTGGGCCTGTCTAACATAGGTCTGATCCTCTGTCTCTGGGCTACCCACCCATCTATCTTTCCTGCCATGCCTTGATGTTACTCAGGTGGGAGGCTGCCCATTTACTACCTCAACACTAGGGGTTGCTATCCACTGCTCCAAACCTCCCCTACATGGTGGCCAACGCCTCGCAGATAGTATATAAATGTTGACCTGTGCCCTAAGGTGCTGGGGTCTGAGCACCCCCTGTCACTGGACCCCCCTGGCACTGGGGTCTGAGCACAGTAGTGTGCCCCAACGAGGCCCCCTCCTCCCCAAATAGCCTCAGCCCAGTCCAGCAGATAAAACAATAACATAAATACGAGCCCCTGGGCTACAACGTAATACAAGTCATACAAGCCACACGCTGGCTCCTTGAAAACTCCGAACTGTTCCTCACGTATTGAGCACCCCCCAGCTCTGGGTGCCTTGTAAACTCCTGGAGCTTCATTAGCCACAGCAACAGTCTGGCCAGCAGCCACAGTGTTCCTGAGTAGTTTTGCTGTTTAGGAGCTCTCTTTCCCTGGCCGCTTGCCAGAGACCTCCCCCTATCAACCTAGGCCGTGGGGTTTATATGTGCCCAGAGGCCTATCCCCTTCCTGTCAACTGACCAGGCTGGGTGGTTGGGCTATTAGACCCTACCCTCCTGGTGCTTGATGTTCCTGTAGACTCGGGTGTTAAAGGGGCAACCCTGCCTCTTAGTAACAGGGCTAAGGTTCCCTGTTACAGTGGGCTAGCACAAGGTCTAAAGCAGGGGTGCTCAACTTCCAGCCTGCAGGCCAAATCTGGCCTGCAGAGCCATGATTTCCAGCCCACAGGGCTCCCCACAGGTCAGGAAATTTGGCAGTGGGAAAGCAGTGGCAATCAATATGGTCATCCTCCCATGCTGCCAAATTCCTAAAAGCTGGTTGAGTGTGGGAAATGCTCCCCCACACTGCTCCCTGCAGCTGGATCAAGGCTGGGCCCATGCCCCCTGTCCACCTGCGGCTTGATCAGGGCACAGTGAAGCCCTTTTTTCTTTCAACAGGGCTGGGTTGGGACCAGGCTGCCTTCCCTTGCCCCTGACCCCCACATGAAGTCCCACCATGACCGCTTCAGGTGCCAGACCAGGGGCACCATCCAGATCCGGCCTATGGGCAAATCAGCCACTGCTCATCTGGTCCATCAGCGAAAAAGTTTGAGCACCACTGGTCTAAAGTAATGGTTTCTTCTCTGTTTCCTGTTTCAGATCTCTCCTGGGAATGACAAGAAGTCAAAGCCAGTGACTTTTTTTTAAATTTTTGGTGCTGGTATGATCTCAGCATATTAACTAGAGATGCAAGGCCCACCTCTCAATTGAGTGGCCAGAGGAACATGCTGTTACACTTAGGAACAGGCTAGTGCAGGAATTTCAGGGATGCAGCCTGACTCTGTTGGTTGAAAAACCTTTGGGCACCTGCAGGGCTCAGTAGCATGGCGGGTGAGAGAACTTGAGTATTGTATTCTCAGTCCTCTGTGCTAACTCCTAGATGGGCATCCCTGCCAGCACCTCTCTCTCTAAGATCTGTTGCAGGTATGAAGAAGATACTAGATGTCTATGACAGGGATAACACCAGCTCTAATGTAAACCAGGGAATTAGCCCAAGCCCCCAGGATGCCATGCAGAAGTTATGTGCAAGTGTACAGCACATGGCTTTGAGTATGTCTGCTGAGGTGTTCCCAGCGGGGCTGCAGTGTAACCATGGGGCCTTGCCCTGTGTCTTCAGGGGGCCTGTTGGGTGGCTGCAAGCCAGAAAGTTAATTTTCCATATCATTTTGTCACGAGAGCATGCTTGAGTCCCCCCAGGCCATCATTCATTGTAAACAGTCACGATTACCCGGAGCTAGCATGGCTGTTGAGTCTGCAGCCAGTGTCTTTTGAATACAATTACAAGAATTTCCATGGTAAACAAACAGTGCACAGACCCTGCCCTCTCACCCTGGCACCTGCTCGGAAGGGATTAGTGGCTGTAAAGCAAACATGCTTGTCATTCCCTCCCCTCCCACATAGCTTTCCGAGTTGAGTTTTGGATTATGTAACTCAAGCCAGAAACTGCATGACCTGTGTTCCTCTCCCCGTGGGAGCAGCCGGGAGCAGCCAGGAGCAGGACTGGGAGCTCTGATTTCTTGCAGACAGGGTTTTCATGGTGCTGACTCACACTTTTCAACAGGGCTTCTCCTATCATCAAAGAATAATGTCCCACATTTGGTGGGCTGCTTCGGATGTCTTTCTTGCACAATGCTGTGCTGTGTACATGGTCTGTCAATATCAAAACATATACCGGTAATGAAGGAAACTTGCGGTTATAGGTGCAGTTTAAACATTCCCCATGAACTGCCCCACTTGCCCTTGGGCTGAATATGCTGCAGAGGCTAGAATTTCCATTAGCCAGTCTGATTCCTGCTCTGTTACAGGAGTTTGTGTATTTGGCCCTAGTTCTTGGCAAGCAGTCTTTCATCCATTTTTCTACAGCCCTTCTTTAACTGTGTTACTATCTTGTCCCTTTTTCTGCTAGCCGTGAACACCTGTGCTGTCAACAATGGTGGCTGTGAGCACAATTGTCTGCAGCTGGCGTTAACTCAACACCGGTGCCAATGCCGGCACAACTATCAGCTGAAGGAGGATGGCAAGCATTGTATCTGTGAGTCTCCCCTGGGCTCTGGGGGTGAATTAGGAATGGAGAAGCACTGCCCTCCCCCTTTTCTCATTGCTTTTCTAAGCTTTGGAGCACAGCCAGAGCAGAGCCTGTGGGAGCTTCGCTAAAGGAGGGAGTCAGGCACAAAATGGTTAATGATAACTAGGTGACTAGCCTATGTATCTAACTAAACAGAAACCATCAGGATGCCTCAGTTGCCTGCTCCAATGTTGAGCATATCAGAAAGGTGAAACTCTCCAGTAGGAAATAGTGCCAATTCTGCATGCTATATTGCCGGGGACCTCTTCTGGGGATTGTTTTGGAAGCTGAGGAAGAGCAGGAAGAGCCCAGCCAAACATAGTGAAACTGCTTCAGGCCACATGCTCCTGAGCACACTATAGGGCAGCAGTCTCCATCAGCGAAACAGGAACCCTTCCTCTCTCCTCTGGCCATCAGACCATCCCCGGCAATTATGTCCTGTTCTCTCCATGGGGCGAGAAGGGGCAATGCTGGAAGTCAGAAGGAGGAGGAGTCCAAGCATCTTGCTGACGGTAGTTGGCATGCAAGCTGTGAAGGGAAAGGTTTGGGCTGTGGGGCTCCTCAGGAAATAGGCCTATCTGGGATGTTAAAAATAGAGTGTCTGGGCAGATTTCTCAGTTGTGTGTCTGCCTGGCCCCTGGCATGGGTCAGAAATGGGTCAGATCCCTGGGGAAAGCCGTTGAAAGGAGCTGGCCCTGCTCTTCCCCCCCTGCTGGGCTCTCTGGCTGTGCTTGTGCCAGCACTTCTCTGGAAAGGCTCCAGCTAGCTCAGTACATTGCTTTTCCAGGAACTCATAGTGCATCCCTTGCCTTTTAGCTTGAGACAGAAGCTCCAAGCCCTGAATACTCATCTCGTTAATAAAGGCTCTGCAGGCATAACCTCTGGTGTCCTGGCCTCATTACTCCTGATTGCATTTGGTCTCCCCATACCTCTCCCTGAGGCTGCAGTTGGGTATGGTGGAGGTTATTCTGGGCAGGTATGCAATGAGGTTGTTTTGCTCTGTCTCTGCAGTGAAGAGCCCATGTGCTGATCGAAATGGAGGCTGCATGCACAAATGCCAGAATCACCATGGCATGGCACACTGTGAGTGCCACCCTGGCTACCAGCTGGCAGCTGACAACAAGGCCTGTGAAGGTACAGTACCCACACCATGGGGAGATCTGAAGCCCTCCCTCTCCCTTCTCTTAAAGACCCTCAAGGTAGGGGAGAGCACCACCTCCCTTGGAAGCCCATTTCAAATTTTGGCCACCCGTACCATAAAGAAGATTTTCCTAGCCTTAATCAGCTCTGTGTCAGTTTGTGACCATTGTTCCTTGTTACCCCAAGAGGCATCCTGGTGAACAGAGCATCTCTGATCCATTACTGCATTCCCCTAATGAATTTCTAGGCAGCCACAAGATCACCTCTCAGCCTTCTCTTGTGGAGGCTGAAGAGGTCCAGGTCCATCAGTGTCTCCTCATAGGGCTTGTTCTGTAAGCCCCTAACCATATGAGTGGCTCTCCTCTGGACCCTCTCGAGTCTATCAACAACCTTCTTGAACTACGGTGCCCAAAACTGGATGCAGTACTCCAACTGCGGTCTGACCAATGCCCCGTAGAGGGGAAGTATCACCTCCTTGGATCTATTTGTCATGCATGTGCTGATGCATGATAAAGTACGGTTAGCTCTGCTGATGATTTCATCACACTGACGACTCATGTTCATCTTGGAGTCCACTAATCGGTAGTTGAATGTTTGTCAGCCTCTTCCCCCAGTTACAGAACTTCAAGTTAACCACTGATAGGGGCATTTTCTGCTTTTACCTAATAGAAGATCCAGGAGCGCAGACGGAAGTGACAGTTTTTGCCCAATGTGGCCACAGGAAGTGATCTACAGCTGTGACCAAACACAAGTGTATAGCTGCAGACTGCTTCAAAAATGTCCAATCAGGCTAAAATCTGAACCCTCATTGCATGAGGGTTCAGATGAAGGTGTTTCAAAACAAAAGTGTCTTCTGTAACTTGTGTCTGCCTGCCTGCCAACCTCCAAGTTGTTTTCTGAATGGGAGGGGGGAAGGGAGCAGAGGGACTTAGGTCTGGCATTTTTTCAGCCCCTGCTGGAGGGTGGAGCAGGTGTATTGGAGCCCTCCCAAATGGGGACGGGGTCCAATTTACCCAGCCCACCCTCCAGCACCATCTGGGAAATCTTTTGAATGAGCTTCCTCTTCTCCCTTTCCCCCCTCCCGTTCTGAAAACAGGGCAGACTGACAGGGAGAAGGGGCCATTGCTAAGGGAAACCAACTGCAGCTTGTAGCCAGCAACTAGATTCCCCTCCAGCCTTGGAACCAGGAGTGAACTTCTGTTTGATTGGGGGATCGCTGTAACTCAGAGCACTTCCTGCAAAGCATTTTGAGTTACAGCGGGAAGCTGCACTTCTGTCTGCGCCCTAGGAGACCAGGTACAGAGAATCCTGCAAATTCCACCCTTGAGGACTCTGAAATGCAGGCAGCCATGCTCTCTGGGGAGCATTTTCCTGACAGAGCTTGCTAGCTGGGTGTGCTGACTGCCTGTTTTCTCTTGCAGATGTGAACGAGTGTGCAGCTGGACTGGCCATGTGTGCACACAGCTGTCTCAACACTCGGGGCTCCTTCAAATGCACTTGTAACCCTGGGTATGAGCTGGGAGCAGATGGCAAACAGTGCTACAGTAAGTATATATTGTCCTGAAGGAGCCTCTTGCCCTCAGGCAACCTGGAGAGAGCTCTTTGCTTATAAGGGTTCAGGCGGGAAAGAAGCAGCACTGAGATGACCCCTGGGACTGACAGACTTTCATGTTTTATTACTCCATAGCAGCTGATACAATGAGCATTACTGGCATTCCCGCTGGTCCATTTCCCAGGATGTTAATGTGACTGTTGTTCCCCCACCCAAGAAGAAGCTATGCCAGGTCCTTAAAGGGCTGGTGCTGCTGGCTGCAGTGAGGGGGAGCTGCTGGAAAGTAGCAAGCCAAATTTTGCTCTTGGCTACCCCTGAAGGGATAATCAAGGAGCTGCAGAGCTGTAATTGGAGGTAGGACTTGACCTCACATGGTTCATTTAGCTCCATCCAGGGATGAAACAAATGTAGGTTTATCCTTCCATCTTTCCCAGTCCTGCTGCTAAGGCACTCACTGCTAATCTTAGACTAAAAACAGATGTCACATTTCTCTGGGAACAAAGACTTTCGTTCTGGGATTGTACAGACATACAACTCCATTGTCCCGTGTTACATCCCTGTGAAGTACCAATATAACACTTTTTCTCCTGGCCAATCAGAGTTAATTTGAGGTAATTGCCATTTAATATGCCTGTGTAAATAACTGTCCTGTTCCTGTTTTGATGCAAGTCAAAGCCCAGGACAGTCAGATCCCAATAAACCCAACAACTGCTTTAAGCCTTGGTGTTCACATTAAACTTGACTTAAGAAGAAATCAAGTCGAACTGACAGGGTCTGGCAGCGATATGCAGTGCAGGGCTGAAGCTGTATCCCACTGAAGCCCTGAGATAAGACTTATTTCCCCCCAAGTAGCACAGCTTATTGAAGCCTGCAGATCGTATAAAGATATTTCTCTTAACATGATTGTTTTGTATTAAACAAGCAAGGTTCCCTCCTCTCTTGGACAGAGATGAGAAATGAAGTCAGCTAGGTTTATAGAGCATCATTTCAGGAAGCCAAACATGAGCCTGAGAGCGGTAGATCTCTGTGAAGGGCTAACTGAAGGTTGTAACTGCTCTGGCAAAGGTGGCCAGTCTCTTCTTGGCTTCTGCTGCTCACTGGTCTGCAGGTGGCTTTGGTACATGTGGGAGATTTTCTAAGCCCAGAGCTTTTAGTCAGGTTTGTTTGTTGGTAAAAGATCCAAGACTCTGGACCAGGTAGTCTAAATCAGTGCCTTCCCCACATTCCCTGCACTTGCTGGCATCAGCTACTGCTGCTGTGCTGTGAAATGGCCACCTCTCCAAGTGAGAGGATGTCTCACCCTCTGCACCTGCCTCCATGAGGCTGTGGCTTCTTCCTGAGACAAAGGCCCCAATTTGATGATTTTTATAGTATTAATTTTCTTCAAGCCTCCTTGTTAGGTGCCTCAGAAGCAGGGACTTGCCTTCCCTAACACTCTGATTGCTTTACTGTGGTAACAGAGACAGGAGTGCAATGTTCTCCAACTCACTTTCCCCTGTAATCCTCCAGAGACCAGAGTGCAAGGCAGATCTGCTCTCCTCACTGGGGCATGCCCAGAGGGACACAGCATTTGTGGGCCACATGTTCCTGCTGATCTCACCTGCTCAGGATACTACCAGGGCTTCACAAAAACACCCAACTGTGTTTCATGCAGTAAAAATAGGAATTTGTTTTTAGGAAGCACAGAACAGAGCCAAGGGCCTTGCAGGCACAAGTCCTTTTGTGCTTAAGGAAACTTAAATAACCAGCTTTATTTTAAAGGACATGATTAATAATCTTTGTATCAGCCATAGACTCCTCAGTTGAAACTTCTTTATACTCTGGCAAAAGCCTTGTGTATCTGTTTGCATCTAATGCTTCTTCCAGCATGTCAGGCACTGGGTCCAGCTCCTGTAGCTGTAGGGATCTAAGTGTTTCTGTCATTAGCTCTGTGCTGCTGTTCCCATTTCTAGTTGTCATCAAAACTTGATGTGCTGAAACAAGGAAGGTATGGGTCTAACTTCTGGCTGGCAGCATGTACTGGAGCATAGCAGAAATCAGGAGCCAGTGATGGGACCAAGTAGTGGGCTCAATCTGCCCATGCCCAGGTCTGTCCAAAAGGTGATGCAGAGACCGCTCCACATCACAGCTCTGCACAGATAACGGGGCCTGGCCTGGCACAGGGAGGGCTGTATGTTTGTGTGTTGCTCCCTTTGCTGGAAGTGGATCCAGGCACAGCTAGTCTTATTCCTCGTCCTTTGCAGGTTATTTCCATTCTCATGATTCCTGGGGCCCATGTTTAGACAGATATATTTTGTACACATGTTAAGACCGGCTTGGTTTCAGTTGCTAGTGCCCAGCAGTAGGTCTCCATCAGACTGTGGCACAATGGACCTGTGATGGATATGTCTCAGTCATGATCCTGGGACAAATGCAGTGCTACAGAGTGCTGCATATGTACTCATGCAGCCTGTCTATCTGCTCTCCAGGGATAGAGATGGAGATCGTGAATAGCTGTGAGGCCAACAATGGTGGATGTTCCCATCTTTGCCGTCACACCAGCTCTGGTCCAGAGTGCACCTGTAACTTTGGTTACCAACTCGATGAAGATCAAAAAACTTGCATTGGTAAGGAGCAGAGAAGTCGCTGTTGTTTGTATCACGTAGAAAGCCCTGATCAAGGACCAACCTCCACTATGTAAGGGAATGCTTTTCTTCCAGTCATGAACACTCTTTCCATCTTCAAGCAATAGCTTTAACCTCATATGTAATCTTTTCGGGGCCAGGCAGACCCACACACTTGTTTTCCTTCTGCTTGTGCCACTGGCTGTAGTGGGGGAAGGATTTATCAAGAGCTGTTGGAAAGCAGGGGCTGGGCGTGTGTCATGTATGTTTAACTGGGAGCCAATTTGTGGAGCCAAGAACATACTCCATGGAAGACAGAACCCCAAAGCAAAGTAACCTAAAGCTGCCAGAGCAGCAAGGGTGACAAAAAGCTGATGGAGTTTTAATGAGAAATTATTTTGCACCCAGGAATGCAATAAGAACACCCCGAATATAATCACAGCTGCACCCATTCCAGCAGCAGGTACTTCCTCTCATGCCTCCGCCACCCCTACAGCTCTCACATATACATATCAGCCCAGCATTTTCACAGTCACATCTGGACTGCACAAAGCACTCTGACATCTGAGAATACTTGTGAACCACAAAACTACCTGGCTAAGAGTGCTCGGGGTGGCTGTACCTTCTCTCTCGTGCTGTCCTTGGGAAGCAAGTATTTCCTACTCGGGTGCACAGGTTTCCTTACTTCTGAGCTGGAAGGGAACTAGCCTGTCCTGGGAGCCCCCCCTGTGTGGCATCCCTGTGTGGCTTGTTTCAGGTACCCAAAATACGGTGCTGGAATGGATGAGCAGAGGAGTGTTGCCTCTTGTGAACTGTGTCTATGGCAGCAGCAATGAAACAATTGACCAACAATCTCAGTGAGATGGATTGGCTGCCAGCTGCAAGCAATCTATAACATAGCTCCATCTGATTGTGGGAGGGAAGTATTCATACACCGGGTAGGAAGAAACTGCAGCTTGAGCCCCCTCTTCATAAATGCCATAATCCTGATGTATGCATTTCACTTCAGACTGCATAGTTTTGTGTCCCATGTGGCAATTAACCTCATCAGGAATGTGTCATGCTCATGAGGCAGGCATTTCCTGAAGCAGGAACAAGGACTGCATAGCTTACTTGGGCACTGGTTTGAATAGCTGTATACTAGGAGTGCAGATCTGGCTGTGTCCTTGTCTCAGTCCTGCAGCTCATCTGCAGAGAGGGGTTAAGAAGCGCTAATGAGGCCACATCAGATCTATCATATGCATAGAGCTGTGGGTTTCTAAATAGAGCAAAAAAAGGGATAAGACTTGTTTTGCCCTGAAGGAGAGAATGTTATCTGCTTTCTATTGAAATGGAAAAGGACAGTAGTGATGAGGTGATGGGCAATCACCCAGGGCCTACGGACGGATTTTCATTTTTGGTACAAAGTGCTGCCTGGCTGTGCAACTGAGCCTTAGGATCATTTCCCCTTTACAAAACCACCAATAACAAACAGAATAACACGCCCCACCAGGCAGGGTTACAATATTTCCAGTTCCAAAAAATAGGACACCTTTCAGAGGGACTTCTCACTCCCCACCCACAGGCAGAGGGACTCTGCCAGTGCCACTCACTCCTGACCCACAGACCCCTGACCCTGCTGGTGCCCCTCACTCCAGACCCGCAGCCCCCTATCCCTGTTGGTGCCCCTCACTCCCAACCTGCAGCCCCCTGGCCCTGCCAGTGCCCCTCACTCCTGACCTGCAGTTCCCCCACTCCCACATTCCCCCTAACCCTTCTGGAAGGGGCCCCCAGCTGCACCGGTCCCTACCAGGCCAGAGTGCAGCAACTCCAATTCAGGCAGGCGGCAGCGGAATGAGTCTGGCCCTGATGCAAGCGGGAGGGTATAAATGATGCCGTGACACCTGCCCACCCTGGGCTGGGGCTCCAGCGCTGCACCAGGTAGCGCTGGCCACATCCCTCCAGGCAGCATCTCCTGATCAGCCCAGCCCCACAAGTATGGGCACTGGATCCTGTGCCTCCGGCCTGGTGCCAGAGCTTCTTGCTGCCATCAAAGGGCCCCCCCACCCTCTACCCTTACTGGATGGGCAAGTGCCTGCCCCCCATCCCTGTGCCCTGCCACAGCCCTGGCACTTGGACACCTTTCTCCAGTGCCAGCAGGCACCAGGCCCCCTCACACACCCATCCCCTCCACAAATCCCTGCCTCCCGACACACCCTGACAGTCCCCAACCTCTGACCCCTACCCCCCACAGATTTACCTGCATCCAGCTGCCGAGGCTGCTCCCATGATGCTGCCTGGCTGCAAGCTGGCCACATATGTGTGCACGTGCAGATGCACATGTACCCGCTACCTCCAATCGCCCTCCCCGTGCTTCTGGCAGCGGAGCAAAGCAAAATCCTGGACATTGGTTCATATTTCAAAAAACCACCCAGACAGAGATTGCAGGGTCCAAAAAGAGGACATGTCTGGGAAAACCCAGATGTATCGTAACCCTAGTTTAACTCTCCATAAAATAAGACATACTGGACAAGCCAGCTTGTTTGGCACTGGCTCTGGCTCTCTGACAGATGATCAAGTGGAAGCTCTCTCAGAGTAGCTGTAGGCATTTCTGTAGAGGTTTCAGGAGGTAATCATAGCATCGGGCAATAAAGCATGGGCCAGGCATTTATGAGCCTGCTGGGCAAAGCTCTTCTCAGCCCTTCTGTTTGGCATGAAACCCAGATTGCTTGCTGCAGACCTGACAAGCACTACTTGCTTTCTGTCGCATATTAATCTACTAAAGTAATCCTCTCTGTTTCCAGCTCTCACCCAGGTATAGGAAAGCCCTTAAGCAATCCTCTTGTGGAGTGTGCAGACCAAGTTGCAGAGCATAAGGGTCTGATATTTTAGTTCATTGGAGCAATGGGTACTCAGTGGGCACATCTACATGTGCACCTCAATGTGCAGTAGCCTATATTACCGCACATAAAAGCAGCGTGTAAAAAAGCTGTGCGATTACACTAATGCTCAGTTAAATAGGCTACTGTGCATTAAGTGTCACCTAAAAATTTGTTCTATTGTGCATTAGTGCAGCCTAATGCATATTAATTTAGTACCTCACATTCGAGGTACTAAATTTAATGTGCATTAGGAAAAGCGCATTAATGCACCTGTAGATGTGCTCAGTGTGTCTGAAAATTAGTCTTTTATGAACCCTGAGGTCACACAAGGAATCAGTGAGGGACCTTGGAAGAGAACCACACAATTCTCACACTGTGCCCTTCTACCCAACCACTAAACCAGCTTCTTTTCTAGTTTACTTTCTGTTATGAATATTCAGTCCCTTCCTCACTAGGGTGGATTCACACCTTGTCTTTAAAGATAAACAACAAAACCTTTTTAAGGTATCCAGGTTGTAGTCATATTGGTCTAGAGGAAAAAGCAATCAGGGCTCATGGTAGAGGTGATATCTTTTATTAGACCCACAAGATTTTTTCAAAAATCTTCTTGATGTAATACAGGGGCGGGCAATTATTTTGGGCAGAGGGCTGCTTACTGAGTTTTGGCAAGCCATCGAGGGCCACATGACAGGAAGCCCAGAGCAGGTTAATATTAATTTTCTAAATTTTTTAGGGGCCCTGCAGGCCAGATAGAATGGCTTGGTGGGCTGCATCCAGCTCCCAGGCTGCATTTTGCCTGCCCCTGGGCTAATAAAAGATATCACCTCTACCATGAGCATAGACAGAAGAGGTGGGGTGGCTAATGGGGCTCAGATTCCCCAAACAGTGGGCAGCAGCAGACATAGCTTTAGGGCAGCCTGGCCACGGGCTGCTGCACCAGGGGGGAGGGGCAGGCACACTCAGATACCCTGCACACTCGCAGCCGGCCCAGTTGCACGCAGGCAGGTAAATTTCTTTTAATTTTCTTTCTGTATCACCCTGGGCTTGGGGAGGAGTCAGGGCAGATCGAGACCTCCACAGTGCAGGAGAGAGCAGAGTAAGAGCAGGGAGAAGCCTTGCCACTGCCCCACTCCCTGCTGCACTGTGGGGATTGTTCCAGGAGCCAGCCTGGCCGGAGCCCCATTCACTGTGAATGGAGCCCCGGCTGGGCCAGGTCGTGGGACAGTCAGAGCCTGGTGACTCATCTAGGGGCACAGGTGGGCAGCTCCCATCTCTGTGTGCACCACTGGGGGCCAGAGGGGGAATAGGGAGTTCCACCATCCTCTCGGCTCCACTGTGCCATGTTCCTCCCCCGCCGAAATTTTTTTCTTCTTCCGCCTATGACCATGAGCCCTGAAAACCTTTTTAAACCATTCCCAAAATATTTAACAGTAGTGTAAGAATGATATTGTAGCCATCATGGCCCATAAATTATGAGAGGGAAGGATTTTGTAGGATGAGATCTTTTATTGGATCAACTATGTAGCTGGGATAAAGTTAGATGAACTGTCAAATGCAAGACATTCTTCATCAGGTCTCTGATCACAGGACGCTGCGGTGCTTGGCTTCCTGTAAGCAGGGACCTGATGAAGAATGTCTTGCACTTGAAAGCTTGTCTAACTTTATCCCAACTACATAGTTGGTTCAATAAAAGTGATCTCCCTAAGCATGGGCAAATCTAGGATTTTGAAAAAGGGTGCAAATGGTGTGGCACATCATCCCGTATAAAACAACACATATTTTTCTCCTGTTAAAGAGAAGCTAGAAGCTTTACTTGTATGGTAGGGCTTAGTACTATATTATTCAGTTTAAGATCAAAGCAAAAAGCAAATATTGGAATGTGCACTAATTTCCTAGAGTATATATAAATTTTAAAAAAATGAAGCATAGGCAAAAGTAGTCCCAGAATGTTGTATCATGAATGCTGTAGTCATTATAGTTAAAGTTACATCTCTTATTCAGTTTCATAAAACAAAATCTAGCATTCTTGAGGATCTTGACAATGCCTCCAATACTTCCCTGTCAGTTATTTTTACACCTGAGTTAATATTACTGTGCCCCAGTTAAGGTTCTTAAGTAGAGTTAAACAGTCTGCAGGGCTGTAAAATAGAAAAGAGACATTACCAGGAAGGGCTGCAGAAGAAAGGATAATTTGAATAGTGAAACATCAGGACCATTAAAAAGGCGAGAGGGATGTTAACACTTGTGGAGTGGAGAGAGATTAACAGGAATCAGGGAGATGATAGAAGTCAATTGGCTCTCTCAGCACTACCTGACTAGAAATGCAGCTGCCCCTCTCAGGCCTTTGGTTTTAAAGTTTGGGTAAAGCAGGAATTAAAGGGTAGGGGAGGTGCAACTGCACCACTGCCCCTCCCCCCGATCATAAGAAATCCTTACCTCTTGCAGACTATTTAAGACTTAGTTGAGAAACAGAAGGCTCTTGGAGAGATACAACAGATGGAGAATCCAGATGGAACATGGCATCTCTAACAGATTTGACTCTTTCTTTCTCTTCCTTACCTGTGGCCTCTAGGGCTCAGGATTGTTGGCCTGACCCACTGCACCTCCTACTCTGTTGTGGGTTGGTGTGAAGCAGGGGCATTTACTCAGCACTTTCTGGGTCAGGGAAGGGGAAAGTAGGACACAGTTTCTGTTTTAGACTGTATTCTTTGCTAATTCCTGATTTTTATTTTTTTTTTGCAAAAATATTTATTCCTACAGATCTATCTATCTATCTATCTAGATACACACACATGCCTGTACCTCTCCCAACTTGCCTAGTGACCAATATAGGTCACTTGGCAGGTCAAAACACACTTTTACAATCACACCATTCTCATTCCAGTTACACTAACTGCACTGTGCAGCCATATACCTACACACCCCATGGCCCCATGCCTGTAGTTTCTGGGTCTAATTTTGGATCTCAGAGCCTTTTGTGTGACTGATGTTTTGCAGGTTGCCTTTAAGCAAAACCACGGGCCAGAGAATAGAGCTATGTCAGCTAAACTGCAACTGGAAAGGTGTTAACAAATACACGTGTCAGCTTTCCTTGACACTTTCTGCAACTCCCACTAACCAATGTCCTCTGTTTTTGTTTTATTTAGATATTGATGAATGTGAAAGTGGCTCCCATTGTTGTCAGCAGGACTGCAGCAATTCTCCTGGTGGCTATGAATGCGTTTGCTCTGCTGGCTACAGGCTCCACACTAATGGCTGTGGCTGTGATGGTAAGCACCAATACCTGAGAGACCACGGGCGAGAAAGGCACTAGCCCCAGCTCTGTTTCATCCTTTCTTCCTCTTGCTTTGGGTTTATCGTTATGGTAAATTAATGATAACTGCTGAGTGGGATCTGGGAGCTTGTTTTTATCAGTTTGTCTTAGATTTTTAGGAGGAAGAGAAAAACCAAACATGTGAACCAGACCCAAATTAGCTGCTCTATAAAATCAACTAAAGAACATTAACAAGCATTACTAGCAAAGCTTGAATCCTGCCTAGAAGTTTCCAAAGATCAGGAATGTTAGTTTGGGCCCATATCTACCAATGATTCATGGAACTGTCATTTTCTATTGCATGGAAATGGATAATATTCTTAATAATTTTGGCACCGAAGTGGCCTGGGCAAGTACCTGTGTGACCATATAAAAACATAAATGGGACGAGCATGACTCATGCAAACTCTTAAGTGAAAAAGTATGTTGTCCTTCCAAATAACCCTAAAGGGCTTGGCATTTCTTCCAATTATTTCCTCCTAGCTAATGTCAGCTTTCCCATTAGTTCTGTATGAATAGCTCATTTAGCCAGTGAGTACAGTAAGCAGGTGTAATGTGGGGGGTTTGCACTTCCTGATTATACCCTGGTTTGTCTTGAGCATAGTTGTTCAACACCATTGATGTTACCAACTAAAAGAGTATCCAATTAGCCCAGTACCTTCAGGCTGGGAAATGGTGGAACTGATTATTAAAACTCATTGTCAAACAACTGTGGTTCACTTGTCACAAGCTTTGTTCATTTTAAAAGAAATATCCATAGTGTTTACAGAAGTTTAGGGCTGGAAGGGACCTCATGAGATCATCAGACCCAGCCCCCCTGCTCTGCGCAGGAAAGACTGCTGGGCAAAAATAATCCCAGCAAGGCATGCATTCAGTCTCCTTTTGAAGATATCCAGGGTAGATGCCTGCACCACTCCCTCTGGGAGTCTATGCCAGAGTCTGGGCACATGAACCATGAAGAAGTTTTTTCTTCACATCCAGTCTGAGATGCTCTTCTAGGAGTTTATGACTGTTGCTCCTAGTTTTCACTTGGGGCATTTGGTGAGCAGCTGTTCACCTAGCCCCTGATATATTTGTAAGTTGAGATATTAAGGAATGAGGGAAAGTTACAAGTGAGTATCTTTGTAAAGGACTACCTTCAGCTGCAAAGGTATGCACCTATAGCACCTGCATTGGCTGGGAATTGAACCCAGGTCTCCTGCATGGCAAGCAGGAATTCTACCATTGAACCACCAATGCTTGATGTTTTGCCTGTCTAGAGCAGAGAGAAATTAAGAGGATATCTGTTTGTGGGCAACTGGAGAGTAAATAAAATACTTCAGGTAGGAGGAATGGCCAGTATCAATCCATCCTAAGGCATGGTGAAAACAAGACTCCAGTCCCCAGAGCCATCAGCCTACACTTCTCCTCGGCACAAAGTTCCTTTCAATTTTGAAAGAAATAGTGAGACTTGCCATTGGCCTCTGAGTTTTAGGTGGCCCTTGGTGTCTGAGCTGTGCCAATTCCTCCTCATATCTGAACCTACAAAAATATTCCCTTTTGTGGCTTTTAGATGTGGATGAGTGCTCCTCAAACAATGGTGGGTGTGAACATACCTGTCAGAATCAGGTAGGTTCTTTCCAGTGCAGCTGCCAGATTGGCTACAAGTTGGATGAAGACCGGAGGAGCTGTATTTGTAAGTGGCATCTCATTTTCTAGAGATAATTAGGGAATGATACAAAGTGCGAATGCACACACTCTTTCTCGCCCTTTTCTCTCCTTTGCACTGCTTTCACTTTGCGTAATCCAGGGGCTATCACTGTAGAGAGGTCTGAAGTGAGATTTCTGAAGCAGTGTAGGGGATTTAGACACATGCCTTCCATTAGCAATGCATGCTTATGCCCGTATTGACTGCTTTGCGTGCATGCCATAGCAGAAATGTAACCCCATTTTCAAACCCTTTGGAGCTGTGGAGAAAGCCATCATTCTTGACATCAGCTGCTCCTGTGAAGCTTCTGCAGTTTACAAAGACATCAAGAAAACTATTTCCTTGCTGTCATGAATCTTACCTGCTACCAGGGCCCTCGGGGTTGAGATTTTCAAACCAGTCTGTAGGATTTGGGCACACACTGAGGTGGTAGCTGGCTTTAGAGGATTTTCTCTTTGCTATATGGTGGTGCAGGTCCTGGTAGCAGCTGAAATGCTGTGCAGAGGCCAGAAAAGGTTGGGAAAACAGTTAGCAAGCATGAGATGGACTGCCAAGCACCTTGAAGTTTAATTTTAGCCAACCCATTTTCACTTCACTTTCTGAAAGAAACAAATTTTATTGGATATTTCAAGGTGGTTGTATTTGGGTTATAAAAAGTAAATTAACAGAGTAAAAGTGACTTTGCAGCTGCTCAAAATAGCTGTCAGACTGTTTAACTTAGCTGTCTCCTGGCAAATCAGCTCTCCTTGTAAATATATAAAATATTAGCTTTTTCTTTAGATTTTCTAAGGTATTTGGATGATAGGAATGATGTGGGTTTCTAGACTAACTGAAATGAACATGGGAGAGAGAGGAGAAATGGGAGAAGTAGAAAGAAGGAAGGAATAAATCACATTCCTCAATTTCTCCCAAATTTTGCCTGTAGATCACAGGAAAAAAGAGTGCCTCTTTAAAGCACAGATCTTCTGCTGTTTCCCTAGTGTAGTTTTTCTCCAGTTCATCACTCCTTCCCTCCTGTCTGGGCCTCTCCTGTTTGACTCGTGATGTGGATAGAACTGTTTGCTGTTTCTCCAGCTCTAGGTGACTCCATAGAGGTTCTGGATGGTCAGCGCCTCGTGATGTACCCTCTCCCTCATGTCGCCGTCCTGCGTGATGAACTCACACAGCTCTTTGAGGAGGACTATGAGTATGAGGAAGAAGAGATGGAAGCAAGAGGAGAGCACACGCTTTCAGAAAAATTTGGTGGGCAGCAAAGCTATGTGACAAATCACTTCATCGATGCCCTTAGTAGAATTAGCACATTTGGGGCCAAGTTACATGTTCAACATTCAGGTGACTGTATCTGCACAGAGACTGCATTACCGTGAACAGTGTGGGGAAAGCAGTTTCTATTTAACCCACAGGTTGGGGAGCTGAGCTCAACTGGCATTGACTAATAGTTGCTTGTAAGTGGAAAACTAGACCCCCCCCTTTGTTCTACAGATACCATCAATTATATTATTAAAATCTGAGCATGCACATTCATAAAGCAGGGCTGAGAATTTTTTCCTTAAGGTCTTCAGCTGTTTATAGTTAAAATCTCATCTAGGCATGCTGGCTCATTGCCAGAAGAAGAAAACGAAACATCCATTTTTACTATTGCAAATGCAAATGCATAATATGTCACCTCTGAGGAGACACCCAGGGTGAGACCTTTGGCCCCACTGATTTCAATACTGTCAGGATTTCACCCCAGAAACTCAAGGGTCTAACTAGTAATGACAGGAGCAGTCTCAAACAATGGGCCATTTCTGTGCTCTGGTGTGCATTCCCTGACCTACTCCCCTTGACCCCCCAGCTCCATTGAGTCCACATGATGCTTGGATGTTTGCAGCAGATGTTATGTTCTTGAGCCTTGTGGGTTTGACTGCCCAGCTGCCCTCCAGAGGTTGGTGAAGCAGTATATAAAATCCCATGTCCTTGTCCTCTGCTCTTGTTCCAGTTTGCTTGGAAGACACCTTTGGGAGTGACTGCAGCCTGACGTGTGACGACTGCAGAAACGGCGGGGCGTGCAATGAGGAGCGCACTGGCTGTGACTGCCCGGAAGGCTGGAGTGGGATCCTGTGCAATCAGAGTGAGTGCCAGTGGAGACAGCAGGGGCTAGGGGAGAGACTGGGGGGCCTTCAGGTCTGTTAAATGTCCTTTCCAAAAGCTAGTCAAAGAATAGTGAGAATACAAAACCCCAGCCAGCCACAAATAGCCAGCCCATTTGCCTGTGTTTCTTGGGTTTATATTGGCACAGCCTGGGCACCAGTCACCAGACAAAATCCCCAGTAAAGTTCCTCATTCCTTGTTATCATATAGATCCTCAGGGATTTCAGTCTACAGTCCAAGCCTGCAAGTGTGTGTATTTGGCATTGGATCTGAGCTCAGCGCCTAGACTGTGCACATAAACCTATTGGCAGTGAATTAGGCATTTTACCTTCTTTAAGACTCAAAACCTTTTTAAGACACAGCTGGGACTCCTATAAATTCTTCCTCTCCCTCACTGAGCTTCTGGCTTGAAAGCTGTTGGCTGTTTAAGCAAAGGAATTCATTTCCCTTGTGCCTGTTAGAGGTTAGGCAGAACTGACCCTGGTTATCTGATGCCTATTTCCAAAGTTGGCTATTAGTTGTTATCTACAATTTCAGTTTGAGATACCACTGTCAAATTTTGGCTCCCCAACCAAATCCCACTTCGTGTCTTAACCAACTAATTGGAACTATATATTCAGGGTATTGTATGGAAAGACTAGGTTCATACTTGCAAGCATTAGCAGAATTCCATGATCCCTAGGCCAATTTACTCCTAATTAAGTCCTTTTAGGAAGTCTCAACAAGATTCAGACCTTTGAACTGCAGAGAAGAATGCATAAAAATGAATAGAAAGTGATAGAATCTCACTTGCATCTTTGGCAGCTGGATTTCAGGATTTGTTGTCCCACAACTCATATCTTTCAGCAAAGGCATGTAGAGCCAAAAGAGCTCATTTCCCCAGGGTTTTCCTTTCTGTAGGGTGGTGGGGTCACTGAAGAGAAGTGGAGAAGAAAGTGGAGAAGTTGGAGCCATCTGAAGAGAACCAAACCTCTGAACCTTGTTCTACTTCAGCTATGTTTTTATGCTATAGTTATGTCAGTTGACGTTTTTAGCTCGTTCTCATCGCTAATGTTGTTGAAAAGGTATGCTGAGCCACAGAAAACAAGATCCCTGCCCAGGAGAGTTTCTAGTCTGGTTCAGATACAATGCCTAGGAGACCAGGTCAATGCAAGAAGGGGAGAAGGACATAGCTGACCTGGAGGTGAAAGGAGGCAAGCATCTGACTGTCAGTTAATGCCAAAACCTGTGATGTGGCCTTGTGCCTGTTGGAAAATGGTAATTTGTCAAAAGTGGATTCCTTCACCAAAGCACTTTTAGCTAATCTTTCAACAGAACAAGGGTATCTTCCCACCTGCTCCCCTGCTCAGCTCCTCAGAAGCCTGCTGGGAGGACTGCAACAGGTCTGGGAATCCAGGGTTTCCATGATCCTCACTTTGGAAGCAGCTCCACCAGTCAGATCATGCAAGGCTCAAGAAACTTAAAGCTTCCAATCTCCCAGAGCAGCTGCCTTATCTGCACAGACCTCAAAAGCTGAGCAGTTGGCAGCCTGGGAAGCCCCTGCTTTAGGCAGGGTACTGAGAGTCAGGGCTTCTGGCTCTCCAGAAAGGAGCCTGGAAGATGGAGAGCCCTGACTAGAGCCCTGTGGATCTCCTGCATGGGTAACATTGCCTTTCTCCCCTCTGCCCATCTTCTCTCCACAGCCTGCCCTGAAGGTACCTTTGGTCGAAACTGCAACTTCACCTGCCGCTGTGAGAATGGAGGCACATGTGATCCCATGACGGGGACCTGCCGCTGCCCACCCGGGGTCAGTGGAGAACTGTGTGAGGATGGTATGAGCAAGCTTCCTAGTATCGTGCTCCATGCAGCCGTGAGAGCCACTCTTTGCACTTCTCCCTTCCAGAGGGTGACATTGGGAGGGGGCTGCTTGTGGACAGAAAGATTTACTCCCTGGGGAGAATGTAACAGACTTCAATAGCAACATCAGGCCTAACTGAGATTTGGTTAGACCTTCACAGTTGTGTGTGGGGTCATGGAATTGAGGCCATAACCTGGCCCAGTCCATGTACTTGCACATCAGTGTGAACACACAATGCTTCATGCACAGCCTAAGGAGGGCTGGAACTAAAGCGGTGTAAACTTTCAGCTGTGAGATGGAAGTGAGGGAGTCTGGAGCCCACATCTCTGTCTCGAGTGGGTGACTGTGAGCAGACAGATACATTCTCTGTCTGAACATCCTCACTTACATAATGGGAACAGTGACACTGGCCTATGCGAGGGGTCATGCTGGTTAGTAAGATCATGTTTATAAGGCACATTGAAGAAGGAAGTCATTTTACTAGGGCATTACACATGGAGAGAAAGCAGAAGTCACAAGTGCTAGATGTTGTCCCTGCCTCGCTGTCTTGCTGTTTGCTTCTTGCAGTTAGATGTGTTTTAGAGAAATTTGGGCCAGAACAAGAGGAAGAACATCATTGCTTAGTTGCTTGCGAGTCTCATTCCTGGAGCATGCAGGGCCATTTGTTTGCTTCGGGAAGGTACACATTACAGTGAGACCTGATAAGCAGAAACCATAGCCAATGGTGATGCCAATGCCTCGCACATCAGAGCATTATCATGGGGCATGCACTGCCATGTGGCTGGCCCAGTTTGACCTGGTACCATTTAACCCTTTGGTTTAGACCATCACTGTGTGTGATTCTGACCAGTGCCCAGGTTCCATCTGATATGTGGCACCACATCATCCTGAGTTTGGGAAACTTTTCTTCTTTTTTTTAATATGAAAAAGTATGCAAAGAACCCCCGGACTGTATTGCATTTCTAAGTAATATTTCAGCTTTAGCAGGTCAGGAAGGAGCTTCTGGGGCAGTACGTGTGATGGGAACTGACCATTAGGAGGACAAAGATTCATGAAGGGACCAAATGCCAAATTTTTAGAAGACTGAAGAAGTGAGATTTAGGTGTCATTGAAGGAAAAAGTTTGATAAAGGCTTTGATAATAGCAATAAAGGCGTTGATAATAGCGGCTGCCTGAACTCATGAGACAGGATCAGGGCATTGATATGGATGTGTATTCATTTGCTTCTCACTTTGGAAGGGTTAAAATCTAGGGAACATAATAAAAAAAAGGAAGAAAGAGAGAACCATGGAAACAAGGAGCCAATAAGAAATTCACTCCGAATGACCTCACCCCAATGGTTAGGAACATATGGAATCCATTACGGGAGGAGGCAGTGATATAAAGTAGAAATGAGTTCAGGGGGCACCTAGAATTTTTTTCCCCCTTTGGAACAAGGTGACTGAGGGGCTTCACAAGAAAGTAGGAAGGCAGGATTAAAGCAAACAGAAAGGGCCTGGCATATACTGCTGGCTGACATTTCCTCCTCCTAGATTCTCTGATATCCTTATCAGATGGGAGGAGAGTTGGGCGACTTATACCCATGCTGACTGAAGTGTTCTGCTGACACAGGGTGTTTGGCATATGCTTCTAATAGTACGTTCTTTAGCATAAAAGAAAATAGCCGTCAGCTTTATTCCCTTAGCAGTGTTGTTGTAAGTGATCAGCAGGGAGGGCGCAGCGCTTTCCTTTTTTGGGTAAGAAGAAGAGGCCAAGCTGTTTGGAATAGCACATTGGCTGTGCTCTTGCAGGGCAGGAACAGGTGCAGATACTTGGTGGGAGGAAGGTCCCATGCGGTTTGTTGGCAGAGATACTGTCTGCTCTGCGTAGGCATTGAAAAAAGCCACAAGGCATTGTTCTCCCAGTGGCCTTTACTCCTGACCTGGTGCTTCTGCCTCAGTGCCCGCATGCCAACTGTTATGTATGTTTCTAGTTACGAAGTGCTTAGGGGGCCACTGAGGTGAGAGGGGCTGCAGAGACGAATTATTATTTGGCAAACAGGTTTCTTTACTTGTTTGCATTTTCAAAGCCTGGTTCTCTCTTCATGCTGGTCTGTCAGTGACCTGAAACTCAGGATGAGCTACTCCAGATCAAGGAGCTATCCACCACCTCCAGTATCCTGTCTGTTGTGTTGGCTAATAATACCTGAGACAGCCAAAATGCCTTCTAATGCCGTAAGCCTATTAACATGAGTGTGAAAAAAGTCCATCCTTTCTGACCCCTACACCAACTGAAAGAGCCTGAGGTTTTTATTACTTGTATCAATATCTTTTCTTGCAGAGAACTCTTATCTCATCCACGGTCACAAATGTAATCCATCCTTTCTTTCCAATCTAGCTCTGCTGTTTGCCTGCAGTCACAGTTTATGTTTGGGCATTGATTGTGACCCAGTCATGTTCTTGGCAAGCTCTGCAGTGAGTGTTCCTGTCAACGATGGGTGCTCAGATGCTGGTTGTTCTCATCAGAGACTGTCTCTCTGTTCCTAGGCTGCCCAAAGGGCTTCTTTGGGAAACAGTGCAGGAAGAAATGCAACTGTGCTAATAGAGGCCGGTGCCATCGGATTTATGGGGCCTGTCTCTGTGATCCTGGCCTGTACGGGAGATACTGTCATCTAGGTGAGTTTGTCCTCCCATTAGCACTAGACTAAGGTCCCTCTCTGGGTTCCCTCTGAGCAGACTCAGACCTGGGTGAAGATTGTGTTCAATTGCTGAAAGCAATTACCAGTTGTTTTCCATTGTGTCTAGCTTGTCCCAAGTGGGCTTATGGCCCTGGCTGCTCAGAGGAATGCCTTTGTGTGCAGCAAAATACCCAGGACTGTGACAAGAAGGATGGCACCTGTCGATGCAAGCCTGGCTACCATGGCAAAAGGTGTCAGACCAGTAAGTGCTTAGGCTTCAGGGGTCATTGAGGGGAGTGGTTCCTGAAGGTTTTCATACCTCCTCACTCATTTTCTGGTGAAAAACCAGGGACAGCTATGTCTCTGTGCAAGCACGGCCTGGTAGTTTGATTAGGGACAGGCCCTGTGGGCAGCTTCAGTCCCCTAAAGCGTCGGGTGTTGCACTGCCGTCTGTGAGTACAAACTTCCTGTCCTTGTTTGCTGTGGCCTCAGTCCGGCCAGGCCTGTGATGTCAGGCTGGCAAGATGCTGAAATCTGGCTGTTGGCACTCAGCAGAGCAGTCTCTGGTGCTTGGAGCCTAGTGCTCATTCCCCAAGCTGCCTACTCACATGAAATGCTCTTTCTTTTTTCCAATTGTTAATAGAGTGCGATGCTGGCTATTATGGGATTGGCTGCAAGAACAACTGTAACTGCCACCTTGGGGTGGCCTGTGACCACGTGAGTGGAGAGTGTCAGAAAGAATGTCCTGCAGGCTTCTATGGAGAGAACTGTGACCAAGGTACACACATGAAGCTGGGGGGGTGGAGGTGGAATACAATGAAGAATAAGCATAAATGACATCCCTCTTGTCAAGAATTCAGCTCACTGCTTTGATGGATGCTACACAGCTTAGATATTGCAGCAAAGGAGACAGCCTAGGACCTGAGAGAAGAGTGGGGCAGGCTATGATCCCTTCCAGCCAGGGACATTTTATTATTATGTCTTGTGTTGGTGTGACTGCAGTGAATGGGGCCTGTTTAAAAGCAATACTTATCCCATTAATGGAATAAAATTGTTAAAAGAGCACAGCCAGTAACTTTTTTATGTTCTATAGACAGAGGGTAAACATTTCCAAATCACTTCAGTGCCCCTCAGCTATTTCAAATCGGGCACCCAACACTGAAGCCCCAGAATTGTGTGCCTCTTCATGGGTCTGGCTTCTGCATGCCTGCTCACTAAGCAGTTACACTGTGGTGCACACAATTTGCCTATGCCTGTACTCCAAAGCTCAGCTTCTGTGATTCCTTTTATCTTCACTAAAGTGCTGGTGAAGTTCAGGAGCATCTGGGAAGTTGTTCTTTCGGAGCTTCCAGGCAAGCCTCCTTCCTAGATTCTTGGATTCACTAGTCCAAGTCTCTTTTTTGCCTGTGCAGAGACTGATCACTCTCCAAGAGCCAGTGGAAGCCTCCCCTCTCTATCAGATCCCTAGCAGGACTGAAAGAAAGATTTTGCAAGTATTCAGGTTTCCAACCCCACTACAGCAGATCTAATAATCTAATTAGATCCAACCCCACTACAGCAGATCTAATAAGGACCTGAGCTTCGAAATGGCTTGCGATGAAAAAAGAGCTGCCCCAGGCAAGTCTGCACGGAAGTACTGAAGTCTCTTTGAAGCATGCAAGGAGGAGAGTCATATATAACCATTCTTAATCAGGGAAGCAAGACCTCCATTTGCCTTTCTCTTGCTTTATGGGAACTTTTACTTTTGTAGATAGTATGGTTGTCTTTTTTTTTCTCCTCCTTTAACAGCTCTTCATTTTCAGGCAGTCCATCCTGGCTGGAATGGTAAGTCTCATTCTACTCCATCCCTCCATAGTAAACTTTCTTTGATCTGCAAGAGGAACAGAACATTCTTTCATTTCAATGATATTAACAATTAGGGCTGTGTGAAACAGTACCATTTCGTTTAAATGCCCTTTTTGCCATTTCAAAGGGACAGTGTTTCTTTTCACAGTTTTGAAGTACTGTTCCAGTTTTTTTTGTCTAAACTCTTTCGCTGTTTCGATGTGTTTTGACGTTTTGCCCATAGGCTATAATGGGGAATGACAAAAATCCCTATAACTTTGTCATTTCTTTCCTGATTCAAATGAAAACAGCAGGGATGGTAGCCCCTGCTCAGGCCACAAAACCTGTCAAGTTTCAAGGAGGTAGGTGCAGGGGTTTCTGGGAAACTGCACCTCAAACTATTCAGAGGAAAGCTCGTGTCATTTGTAAGTGTGAAGGCACAGAGAAAACGCAGTTCAAACAATGCTTTTTATGCTGTTTTTCCATCCCTCCCCCAGAGCACTGGGATTGGAAGGGACCTCAGGGAAGGATCACAGTCACTGGCCAGCTACACATGTCAATATTAGAGCAGTCTTCCCCCCTCTTCCCCCTCTCCCTTCTTAGTTTCTGTCTAGCTGCAAGCAAGCCCGGCCTGGAAACTCAAAATCTTTCAAAACTTTTGAAACATTTCGAGTGCCCTCATTTCATTTCAGAGCTTTTGAAACCTTTTGTTTTGTTTTGATGTCACTGTTTCAAGCTCAAAACATGTCGAAACAGCTTCGAAATGAAACACCTGTTGAAATTTTGGACAGCCCTAATTAACATGTATCCTACTGCCCCCACCCAGTCCTACCCACAGGGTTCTGCTCTTTGGGAAAGAGAATTAGGCAGAGCATCACAACTGAAATTCACAGCTCTTAGGGGAAGGCAATTATAATACTGCCCTTAGCAAGGAGTGCTTGGCTTTCTCATTTTGTAAGAGATGTGCACATCACTTTTGTGTTGCAAATAAGCTGTTAAAGTGAGCCTTAAAAAGCTGCAAGGCCCAGTGGTGCACATTGGGGGATTGTTGGCACTGGTGAGTTGTCAGGTGGGCTTGAAGCCAGGATGAATGGGTTTGGATGGCAGGGAGGGAAATGAACAGGGGATAAATCACACTAGATCGGGGCAGGCAAAATATTGCCCATGGGCCAGATCTGGCCTGCCAGGCCATTCTGTCCAGCCCACGAGGCCCCTAAAGAATTTAGAAAATTTATATTTATCTGCTCCTGGCTGCTTGTCAAAGATGACAGGAGCCAGGGGCAGTAGGACCCAGGGGAAGCTGGCAGGACCTAGCAGCAAGGCTGGTCTGGCCTTGCCCCATCCCTGCCCCCCCACAACTGGAAGCGTCTGCTTGCAGCTACTTTCACTGCTTCCCTGCGTGCCAGGCAGATGCTCCTGGCTGCATCACTGGACTGCGGGAGCATGGGGCTGTACCTCAGGGCCAGGAGCAGAAGGGAGAGTGTGTGTGTGTGTGTGTAGTGAGGCGGTGGGGAGGGAGAGAGAGAGAGAGTGTATGTTCATAGGGCAGGTCCTACAGGCACACCCAATCATACATGTGCACCCACACCCCCCCTTGCACTGCCAGACACACAGACCCCCACATCCACATCCCTTTACCCACATATCCACACACACACCCACATGCTCC